TCTGCTTTGCCCCCAGATGGGTGCCCCTGAATCTACAGAGATGATCCTAAGCCATACTGACACAATCCCACCATTTCTTGGCCCAAACAGACCCCTCTTTTTGAAACAATCTCTGGGGGGTACTTTTTGTGCGCCTCGTCCTGGCGGAGAATTTTCCTTGAATTGGGACACTGCACCCCCAGGTCACTTAGGACCATTTTTCAACCGTAGTTTTTAGCCATTCTGCTCTCATATGAAAGCTGCAAGACCCAGGGAGTTGATTCTGGCAAGGATTTACACAATCTCACCATTTTGAGGGCCAAACAATCTCCTTCTTCAAAAAATACTGTGGGGGGGGTGTACTTTTAATGCTAATGAGCTGGCCAGAAACTCTCACATGACATACAGTGGTCTGCACCCTACGCGCGCGTACGCGGTCGGTGATCGAAGAACAGCCCGGGCGAGCAAGCTACATGCAGAGGTCGCTCTTTGGTTGATCTGCGTAGAGGCCATCGAGGGCCTAGGGTGCATTACAACTTAACTTGCTACAGCGCCAGGCAACAACAAACAGTGGGGATTATCTTGAGGACGGAAGCTTAGTTAAAAAGGATGTGTGCTTGATTCTACTGCGTTTTGTAAGTATCGTGTCAGTAAATCAAGATGTACTGTTGATACGGGTTATATGTTTAAATTTTTACAATGTCAATGATTCAGCTCTGAAGAAGTGTGGACACGATCGTCTTCGCATCATGATTGGACTCTTATGACATGTATGAGGAAAACGATTGCGGTGACACCATGCATCAATCTCTTTCTTGAGTATGTGTGGTTCTGAGAAGAACTGGGAATAACTCGACGTTTCGAGCAGTGTACTCTGTCCGTCTTTAGGATGCTCAGCCTACCTCTAGCCCTACAAATAGGGCTGTAGTGGCTCTCTTTTACAATCTGTCTCTTATCCGTCGCCACCACAGCCCTACTTCAAGGCATGCCTTAAATGCCTGAATCCAAACTGCAGGATTGTCACAAAATTTGAATCCTAATATCTTCTGAAATGAGAATGACTTGACAATTTCACTTACACCGGCTTATTCCTCAGATTCTGGACTTTCATACAAGCACCCTAAAGCTTTCCAAAATCGTAAATTTTCCGATGTGTGGTGCCTTGAAAAACCCGGCCTGTAGTATTACATGCTGACTATAGGCAGTGCCATTTTGAAAAACGAAGGCAGCCCTTCGTTTTTGTCAGAAGTCAGGGCACCCAACACGTGCCGTCGATGCATAATTCATTTTGTCACAGTATTGCTTCTAAAGTAATAAGTTGCACGCGTACTTTCCTAGTGTACAGTCCGCCTACAGGCATGACAGGGAACAGGTCAACAACTCGTACCATGGGCAACTTGTAATCATCAACTCAACATAACTGTACCAACTCGT